GTAGAAACACTAGTCACTCGTAACATTTGCCACATGTCTAAAGAATCTTGGAATTAACCTACTGCGTTGCTAATAGGAGAAAAGCTGCTATAATAAGTGGATGTATTAATGTTTAACAGAGGAATGTAGAGAACTTGTTTTTGAAAATATGTGGAAATGGCTAAGAAGCTGTGAGGTGATATCAATTTTTTAAGTATTTATTTTTAAAGCTTAGAAAAAATGTTAAAAATATCCTTTGTGGGCCGGCCCCATGGCGCACTCGGGAGTGTGGCGCTGGGAGCGCAGCAGTGCTCCTGCCGCGGGTTCGGATCCTATATAGAAATGACCGGTCTGTTCACTGGCTGAGCGCGGTGCGGCCGGTCACACACAAAAAAATATCCTTTGTAACATGAAATGTTTCTCTAAAATAGTTGTTGACTTGACCTGTAGTTGTATGTATTACACTGTATAAAGTGCTGTCGTAGCACTAAGATCAGAGCACTGTGGAAACACAGAGGAGGCTGCATATGATTATGCCTCTAAGTCAAGCAGGTTTTACTGAGGAAGTGACAATAGAGTTGGATCTTGGTGAGCAGGCTTATAGTTTAGCCCAGATATTTCCCCTAAGCACCAGATTTATATAATCTACTTCCTAATTGTCTCTTCGATGTCTTTCAAGCACCTAAAACTCAACATGCCCAAAACAATATATGAACTTTGCCCTTGAACTGGTCTTCTGACACTCCCTCTTTCAGTGAATGGCCTTCTTGTCTGTTCAGTCATGTAAGGCAGAAACCTCAGAATCACTTTTGAGACATCTTTTTCATTCTTTATGTCTAATTTGCCATCACATTTTCTTGATTTCATCTAATTATCTCTCAAATACATCCACATCTGCATCTCTGCATCTCCATTACCATCTACTTAATCCAGCCTATTATTTTCTTACCTAGTATCCCACAGTAGCCTCCTTAGTTATCCGTATCCACTCTAGTTAAAATAACTTTCAGAATGCTAATCCGGACCATGTTCCCATTGTCTTAAAACCCCTCAGTGCTTTTCTGTTGCCCTTAGGATAAAGACAAAATTGTTTAAATGTCTTATGCGGACTGCATTGTCAGGCCACTCCTCCTTTCCATGCTCATCTCACAGCATACTCTTCTGTCTGTTTCAGCCATGCAGACCTGATATTCCTCATGATCCCTTCTGTCACAGTATCTAGGCATCTGCTGTTCCCTTTGCCTGAACTGTTTTCTCCATTTCTTTCGTTAATTTTTACTCATTCTCTTATAGAACTCAGACCAGTCTTCAATGCTGAAGGAAGCTTTCCCTGGTATACTGGAGTAGGTCAAATCTCTCTGTATAGGTGCTCATAGCACTGTAGACATCTCCTTCAAAGCTTTGTCAACTTTATAGTTTTATGTTCGTTACTATTTGATTATCATCTGTTTACTCCACTTTACTGTAGACTCTATTAAGGCAAAAAAATATTCACTGTTATATCTCCTTATATATCTACTTCCTAGATACTTTGGTCTATGTTTCTTCTAAATAAATTCATTAGGATTCACTGCAATTAGTTGTGCGTTTTAGATTCCTTAAGCTTTCTCTGAGTATTTAGCCATTTATTTTATCATTTAATGGTGTGGGCTGGGGAGCAGTTGGAGATGCTTGAAATTTAAAAAATGTTTGCTTTGACTTTCAGTGCAATGACCTAAATGATTTATTAATAAGAAATTTGGAGGAAAATACATATTGGTATTTTTCTAGAAGACTTTATAAAAAAGATGTTCCCCCAGCGATATATTCTCTGAGAGTTTAAACTCATTTGGAAATCTTGATTAAACAATTTGAAGTTTATGATCTATTTAGTAATATTCATGTTTCTCTGACATATTTTAAAGGTGATACCCACTTAGGTGGCAGCAGTAGAGATGGCCCATTTAAAGAAACAATAACATTAAAATGGTGTACACCAAGGACAAATAACATTGGTAGGTATTTAAAAATAATTGAAAGAGGAAAGAATAAATCAAAAGGTTCCTGAAGTATTTGGGGGGGATCAGTTAATTTATTTCTATTTCAATTTATGTTTTTCATTGTTTCTGGGGCTCAGTGAACAAATTTTTTTTTTAATCATGGGAATATTTCTTTATATTCTTTCAAATGGGTGTTTTTCTATTTCAGAATTACACTATTGTACTGGAGCTTACCGAATTTCACCTGTAGATGTAAATAGTAGACCTTCTTCCTGCCTTACTAATTTTCTTCTAAATGGTAACTTTCATCATTTAATGGTTTTGACTGAAATTATTGCAAGTGAAATCATTAGTGAGAATATGAAATATGGAAAGCTATTACTTATACAATTGGAAATACCCTTTAACAGTTTTGCTAAGGTTTAAAAATAAGGTGACTTTATATCTGACTTTCAGACTATTATATCTAAGCATATTTTATTTAACATATTTTTAAGTATTTTTATTAAAAAAATTTGACTTTTAGAATCTAAATTGATTTTTTTTGGAAATTAGAATAATATAGACCATTTATCTTGGCCTGTTGAATTTTAAATTACAAAGTATAAATGGACTTCTCTTTGAACAATATATTGACTTTTAGAATCTAAATTGATTTTTTTTGGAAATTAGAATAATATAGACCGTTTATCTTGGCCTGTTGAATTTTAAATTACAAAGTATAAATGGACTTCTCTTTGAACAATATATCTTTATCATAAATATTTTCCATATTATACTATATTATTCTTATGTATTATTAAATCTGTGGTTTCCTTGTGTGAAAATTTTTTTACAAGTCTAAATTATTGGATTTCATCTACTAAATCTAAATTTTAAAAGCTCCTCTGGTAATTTTTGTGATTATCTAGGTTTTGGAACCATTGATCTAAAGAGTTAGCTGGTCTTTATCATAAGGTTATTTTCATTGTTAAGTTAAGCACAATTTGATTATCAGATTATGTAAAATCCAGATTAAACAACATCTGGACATGTGAAATAGAAAATAGTTAAAGATAACAGTACTGATGAGGAGGTATTGTGGAAGTGAATTGAGACTGTGCCTTCTTCCGAATGTTTTGTCACATTGATAACCTGAAGGTTATCCAGCGGTCATCTCACTTTTCTTCTTGATGTACAGGATTATATATGAACTTGTAATTGAGTGAACCATATAACCAAACATATAGCAGAGACCACTGTGCTTGTTATGGAAAACTGTCTGTATAACTATGTAAGCTCAGAGTAACTAAGAGAAAGCTAAGGTTAGAATTTAGATTTTTAGGAATTGAAATGTAGATATATTAAATTAGCAGTCCTGGTTAAAATATAGGGATCAATAAATAAGATGAAAAAATCCAGACATAAATCTTAGGGGGAAAAATAAGAGCCCATTTGAATTTCATTGCTGATAATATAATCTTGTTTTTGACAGGTCGTTCTGTTTTACTGGAACAACCACGAAAGTCAGGTTCCAAAGTCATTAGTCATATGCTTAGTAGCCATGGTGGAGAGATTTTTTTGCATGTCCTCAGCAGTTCTCGATCCATTCTAGAAGACCCACCTTCAATTAGTGAAGGATGTGGAGGAAGAGTTACAGACTACCGGATTACAGTAAGACTATAAAGTTTATGTTTTGAGTTTCTCATAATTCAGCAAGTAGCTATTGAGTGCCTGGAATTGCACTGACACACTAGAATTATAGGAGAGAATGAAAATTGATCTGAACTAATATCTTTGGTGGAACCTAATTTCTAGTAATTTAAATGGCAAGCAGAAACATTTGAATATTTGGATTGCTGCTACTTCGAAATAACATAAACTTGTATTATTGGGAGGAACATGCAAAGAAATTGTGTCAATCAGAAAATCCGTTGTTCTGATTTTAATTTTTCATTCTTCCTATTTGGTGATTCATGGCTGTCTACTTTTGAAGTGGTCGTAAACATTAAATATGACTTATGTATATGAATATACTTCGTAAACACCAAAGATTGTATACTATTAGTAATTGTTTTTGATTAGGCTTTTTTTAAACATTTTTTTTTTAATAAGGAGGAAGCTAATCAATATTTGTTGTAGAAAATTTAGAAAATATAGACATCTGAAAAAAACCCCCAAAAACTGTAAATTACCTATAATTCTGTCATTCAGAGATAACCATTGCTAACATTTTGGTGTTATGTCAAGGTGGTTTTTAAGTAAGCAGTTGGTTTTCTAATGTGATTAAATCATTTATTATCTGTATGTGATAGAAAAAAATTTAAATTATAGGAGTGGAGAAAAAAAAGAGTATTCCTTGGTTTTTAAAAAGGGATCAGGGAAAGTTCATGAATGTATTTATGTTTGAGGCTTTTTAAATTTCCATTGTATAAAGGCTGAGAGGTTTCAAGTTCAAATAGGGAAAAAAAAGTGAGGTGAGAGTGGGGAGCTGTTAGAGAAAATGCTTTATTGCATGTCACAGGACAGAAGACATCAGAGAAACAGACTATTACTTGTAATCCACACTGAAACGTTAGAAATAGTCTCTAATTATATCTTATTTGGTTATCATTAGGATTTTGGTGAATTTATGAGGGAAAACAGATTAACTCCTTTTCTAGACCCCAGATGTAAAATCGATGGAAGTCTTGAGATCCCTTTGGAAAGAGCGAAAGATCAGTTAGAAAAACACACCCGTTACTGGCCTATGATTATTTCACAAACCACGATTTTCAACATGCAAGCAGTAAGTGTTAAATAGTTTAAACTTTTTTTCTAGATCTGTTAAATATTCTTTATAGAAACAAATTAGAAAATTTGTAATTTATACCTTTTCTCAAGCAAAGAATGAAATATATGAATTTGCTACAGTTACAGAATTAGTTATTAAAAATTGAAGTGATAGTTATAGATTCCCTTACCATGGTGATCTTTAAAATCAATTTTAAGATCAAGTTGTGCTTATATGCTTTTATATTTGTTTTTCAAGACAGATTTTCCTTTTTCTTTTAAAAAAATCTTAACAGGTAGTTCCATTAGCCAGTGTTATTGTGAAAGAATCTTTGACAGAAGAAGATGTGTTAAACTGTCAGAAAACAATATACAACTTAGTTGATATGGAAAGAAAAAATGATCCTTTACCTATTTCCACAGTTGGTACAAGAGGAAAGGGCCCTAAAAGGTAGCTTTTTTTCTTACTTTCTTTATACATCACATTTACTTGATACGTTTTTTTCTTAAGATAACTTAATCCATATATAAATTATATATATACATACACACACGATCAGGATGAAATAATATAGAATAGCAGGGATGGATACATTATAACTTAAAATTCCAACATTAACTATCTAGTAAGAGGAAAGAAATCCACGTTTAATTGTTTTCTTTTACTTTACCAGTAGCAAGTGATACTTTAATATTATTTAAGAGTATTTCTAAAAATGTTATTTTAAATCTTTACTGCAGAGATGAACAGTACCGCATTATGTGGAATGAATTAGAAACCCTTGTCAGAGCCCATATCAACAATTCAGAGAAGCATCAAAGAGTCTTGGAATGTCTGATGGCATGTAGGAGCAAACCCCCAGAAGAAGAAGAACGAAAGAAGCGAGGAAGAAAGAGGGAGGACAAAGAGGACAAGTCAGAGAAAGCAGTGAAAGATTATGAACAGGAAAAATCGTGGCAAGATTCAGAGAGGTGACTTCTTGGTATTAGTATAGCACCTTGGTGCCTTCTGGCATATCACATTCTCCATATAGCACATTCAAACATACATTCCAACCTCATTTAATAGTAGTTTATTTAATGCATGTTTTTATTTTACAACTAACTTTATCTTTTAAAATCTATATCTTTCTTCAGCTTAAAAAGGTATATGTGTTTTTACTGTTAGGGCCAAAGATAGTGTTAATTTTTCCTAATTAACTTCTTAAAATCATAATGCCTGATGTTTGGTATCAATGTATGTTTTGTGTTATGAATTTCAGAGGCATAATTTTATTTCTTTTTTTTTTTTTTCCCTTTTTGTCTTTTTTTACTGACCGGTAACGGGATCGCAACCCTCAGTGTCGCGCCCGTACCGGGGACCGGCAATGGGATCGCAACCCTCGGTGTTGCGCCCGCACCGCGCTCAGCCAGTGAGCGGGAACCGGTCTCCACATGAGATCCAAACCCTCGGCGGGAGCACCGCCACACTCCCAAGCAGCGCACTCTCCAGTGCGCCACCGGGCCGGCCCATAATTTTATTTCTTTGATCAGTAAATATTTATCAAATGCCTGTGAGGTGCCAGGCATTTGGCACAAGATCTCTGCCCTGAAGGAACATACAGTGTTATGATAGAGACAGACAAGTAAGTCAGTGATAACAGCAAAGTGTAGAAGGTGTTTTTATAAGAAGGTAGGCACAGGAATGCCCATGGGAGCACAGAGGTAAAGCATAGTCCTAATTCTGAAAACATTTCTCAATAGTACACTCTTTTCCCTTAGTTTTACACTCTTTTCCCTTAGTTTATGATTTATATAGTGATGTCAAGGTTAAATTTGAAAAAACAGAAAGAGTAATAAAGGCTTACAAATTAATATTATTATATACCAGCTGGTTACATCTCTTACCTCCTTGCCAGAAATCAGGCAAACAACCAGGTAAATATATAATAGCAATGCAATAAGTCACTTAAAGACAAAACAGAACTTTCTATTGTGGAAAATTTCAAATATATAGAACAGTTAGACAAATAGATTCCTATTATCTACCTTCAACAATGATCAATTCATGGTGGATCTCATTTTATATGTATCCACATCACTACCCTTACCTCCACTCCCATAGGAATATTTTGAAGCTAATTCTGGAAATTATATCATTTCATTCATAAATAAGTAGAATACTTTTATTCTCTTTGATTTTGATTAGAAGTTCACTTTTTCCTCAGGGCTACTGAGCTTCTGAAACAATTGTCTCACTGTAAGAGAATGGGAAAAGTATTGTCATTCAGATTCCACTGAACTTCAAGTGTACCCCTATGTATTTTGAAAGTGTTTTTGTTTACTGATGAAAGTAAATAAAGGCTTAGAGTTAAATTCCTGACTCGTGGAATGTAAATATATTTCTATAGTACATAGACTAGAGAATGAATGATCATAAACTTCTTAATCTTATTTATAATTTGAAATAGTATTTAGTCAATATCTTTAAAAATTAGAAATGTGAAGTTTTCTCAAAGATCACATTATTTCTTACCATTTTAACTTTAGTTTCTTAAGTTTTCCTCTATTTTTTCATATTTTACAGCTAACTAATTCCTTAATTATTGTATTATTATTAATAAAGGCTGATATGCAAAGATAGTTTAATTATTGAACCATTTTTAGACTTCTAAAAATTTAAACTTCACATTTTATTATTTGTTCCTCTAAAAGATTAAAAGGAATCTTAGAACGTGGAAAAGAAGAGTTGGCTGAAGCTGAGATCATAAAAGATTCACCTGATTCCCCAGAACCTCCAAACAAAAAGCCCCTTGTTGAAATAGATGAAACTCCACAAGTGGAAAAATCAAAAGGTATGGTGGAACTGTGGTAACTATGTTTGTAAAAAGCTTTTCATTTAAACTTGTTAGTACAGTGTTATTTAATATTGTTGTGTTTATGAGGAAGAGCTCCAAACTATTCCTGGATATTGTTTAGGAGATTCTGTTGACAGTGTTAGAAAATAAAAGCAGTAAATATATTTGTCAGCATTTTGAAAAAGGTAGTGTCATACCTCCATTAATGAAGCCTTTGGAAAATAAGCACTTTTACTATAAAGTCTGTGTTTTAAGAAATTTTAAATACGTAAACCAGAATGTTTATGTTCCTGACACTATGCAGTGCTGTGTTAATGAAGACAAATTCTTTTCCCTAAACTCTTATCGAACCTAAGGAAGGATGTAATGTCACTCATTTATTCAGAAATTAAAATGTGGTTTGAACAAGTTTCAGTGAAGGAATTGTAAACAATAGTTTCACTGCCTTTTGAGGTTAGCTTCTTTCGCATAGCATAATGCATTTGAGATTCATCTGCATTGTGTTTATATCAGTAGTTTGTTCTTTCTATTCCATTCATTTATAGAGTATATGACTAACTTTATAAGAAACCGCCAACTTATTTTTCCAAAGTGGCTTTACCATTTTGCATTCCCACTAGCAATGTACGAAAGTTCTGGTTGTTTTGCTTTTTTGTCAGCACTCGGCTGTTTTCAGGTTTGGTTTCTTTTGTGTGTGTGTGCTTTTTTTTAGCTATTCTAATATGTATATAGGGTATTTTGTTTTAATTTACATTTCTCTCACGACTAGTGATGGTCATCTCTTTTCAGTTGCTTATTTGCCATCTGTATGTCTTCATTGTTGAATGGTATGTTCAGATATTTTGTGCATTTTTATATTGAATTGTTTGTTCTCTTATTGTTGAATTTTGTGAGTTCTTTATTCTGGATACAAGTCCTTTGTTGGATATATGATTTGCACATATTTTCTCCCAGTCTGTGGTGTGTCCTTTTTTGAATGCTTACTTTTGCACAGCAGAAATTTCTAATTTTGATGAAATCAGATATTTCAGTTTTTACTTTTATGATTATGCTTTTGGTGTTATATGTAAGAAATGTAACCCAAGGTCAGAAAGATTTATGTTTTCTTTCAAGAGTTCTGTAATTTTAGATTTTACATTTAAGCACTGGATGGCTGGCCAGTTAGCCAGTTGATTAGAACGCAGCCTTGTAACACCAAGGTCAAGGGTTCAGATCCCCATACTGGCCAGCTGCCAAAAATAAATAAATAAATACATTTAAGCCATGATCCATTTTTAGTTATTTTTCTTCTAGGATATAAAGTATGGGTCAGTATTCATTTTTTTGCATATACTGTCTTTATTGTTCCAGCAGCATTTGTTGGAAAGATTATTGTTTCTTCATTGAATTGCCTTTGTACATTTATCTTAAATCAATTGACTATATGTGGGCGTCTATTTCTGGTTCTCTTTTATATTCTATTGGTCTGTGTGTCTGCTGTCATAAACACTGCAAGTTAAGTCTTGAAAATCTGGTAGTAATAGTCCTCTAACTTTTTTCTTCTTTTTTCAAAATTGTTTTGGCTGTTCTAGTCTTTTTGACTTACATTGTGCAGGAAAGAGCACAGCAGGCCTGAGACCATTATCAGTAAAAAAAAATCTGCTTGCAGTTTTGGCGCTTGGCTGGCATCTAGAAACTTGGCTTTTGAAACTGTTCCCTAGAGGTGAAGTTATTTTGCCTTACATCTGAATTGAACACCTGCTTTCCCTCTGGAAGTTGGGAATTTCAGTTTTGTGGTTAGGCAGAGAATGTGTATGTGATCGGCCCTCAGTAAAAACCCTGGACTCCGAGTCTCAAACAGGCTTTCCTGGCAGAAATATTTCACACACCTGGCTACATTTTTGTCTCTGGAGGGAGTGTGCACTCTGTAAACCCACACTGGAGGCAGAGAGCATGGGAAGCCTGCAAATGGATTCCTCCAGTACCCATTTACTATGTCTTTTCTTCCTTACTGCTCTGGCTGTGTGTCCCTACTGTGCTGCTGAAATAATTCTTAGTCATGAATATAACTATATGTTTAGCCATTTGAGCTCTTCAAGCAAATCATTGAATTAGGGGGTGGTCTTGGGAACTCTGAAACACACAAGTTTTAGAATAAGAAGGTGATGTTGGCTTAATTATGTAAAGTGAACAATAGAGTTAAAGGTAAGCTTATTAAGTTTGTAAATTTTGAAATAATAAATTATTCTATCTTTTTTTTCTTCTTTCAAATATAATACCAGGGCCAGTGTCCTTATTATCCTTGTGGAGTAATAGAATCAATACCGCGAATTCCAGAAAACATCAGGAGTTTGCTGGACGTTTGAACTCTGTTAATAACAGAGCTGAGTTATATCAACATCTTAAAGAGGAAAATGGGTTTGTGTTATTTATTGTAGAAATTGGTTTTGTTAATTGCCTGTATAGTACTGTAATAAACACTGCTTGTTTGTTGTATTCAGCAATTTTTTATTACTAATATTATGAACTGATACATGCTACCTATAAAGAAAAAAAAATTGATTTCTTTGATTGTTGGTACTCATAAAAGGCCTAATTATATTGTTTGTAACGCTGGAAGTATTTACTCCTTAGAGCATTTTTTTTCAATGCTTAGTAAACATCATAGAGGGAAAAATCATAGAGAATACTTAGTGCGCAACACTGAAGCTGTGTAAATTAACGGGGGAAAATACTTTTCTATCAATAATATAGTATTAAGAATATCGATTATAGTAGAATAAATTTCAGATCTGACTTTTTAAATCTATTTTTTTAGAAGAAATCCTCTTAAAAATATATTGGTACCAAAATTTCTTTAGTGGAAAAGGAAATAAATCCAGGACTAATGGTAGAGATTTTTTTCTTTCTTTTGCTTGGAAAGGGAGGGTGGTATAGTGAGATAAACAGTGTCATTTGAAATGCAACCTTGGGAAAATCGCTTAATTTCTCCAGGCCTCTGTATTCACTCATCTGCAAAATGAGAAAGTCGGACTGAGTAGAGGAGCCCTAACGTTATTCCTTTTCTAAAATGCTAATGGTATGAATATATTAGATTTTAATTTTCATGTGAAAGGTAGATAATTAAGGGGGGCAAAATATGGAGTTTCTGAAAGTTTTATTTTACCAACTCATTTTTTTCCTCCTGTTTTTCAGGATGGACACAACAGAAAATGGAAAAGCCAGCCGTCAGTGAAGAGTACTTGAGGATCTAAATTTAGTATATTGCATAAATATTTTGGGTGGAATTTGATAAAGTACTTTTACAGCAAAATTGTATAGTTATGTTGGACTGGTTTTTACATTTTTAAAATATTTCAACTATCTTTTTTGTACTAATTGTAAAATTGGCACATAAATCAAAAATATACATTTGAGATTTGTCCTCCCTAATCACACAAGTTTATTTTATGGTAAAAGGTGTTCTCTCTGGAAATGTTTTTTTAAAAAATTCTTAGGCTTCTCTTTGCCAAATAAAACTATTAAAATATCTGAAATGCAAAATATTGGAGTATTACTTTAGGAAAAAAGGTATTTATTCATTTAATGACTGACAACAACCTTTAGAAATTTTTTAAAAATTTCATCATAGTTTAGGTGAGATTTGCAATACTTAATATAAAAACCTTGCCTGTTAATCTGCATCATATATAGTGCTTTTCCAAAAAGAAATGTCGTTGTGCTTGTTTATTTTACTTTAAATTATTTTGACCGTGTGTTATCTATTTAAAAGCAGAGTTTTCAGGTAGTTGGTGTAAATTTATATTTACTAGTATTGGATAATGTTACTTGTTTTTTTTACCTGCTAAAAGTTTACCATCCATTGACTTTCATATTGAAAGAGAAGCATGAAGGAGATTACTTCACAGACTTAGAGGAAAGGAAAGTTACTAGGTTATTTGTCTTAATCCCTGGAGAGAATCTTGGTCTCATTTCTTAGAAATGTCATGGTTATAAGTTTTATGTTTTGTGAGTCTTCTTGTGCTTCTTCATCTGAAGCTTATAACATGTTACAAGAAACATGTTATTTTGGTGTTAGATGCTAACTCTAGTTTCATCATTTTTTCCTTGAGTGTTTATTATAGAAGGAAAAAGCTCTTTGTTTAAATATACAGATTTAATATTTTCTATTACAAAATATGAAGTGGTGTTTAAACAAGGGCTCAACAAGCTCTCATGTCAACCATTGAAATTTATGTTGCTCTTTATCAACTCCTGTCTTGTTCTCAGCCCTTGCATCTGTCCTCTCCCCTAAGCTAGAGACATTTTTTATTCTTTACCACTGTGTTTAGGTACACATCTACACAAACCATACACAAGTATGACTAGGACTAATTAGCACCTTAGACTTGCAGGGTTTAAGGAGCTATAATCCAATACTTAACTAGATCATATTTATTTTTGAATGGACTCTGACCTTTTGTATCTTAATGTTATCCAGCTTTCAGCTTGTACCCAGTTGGGGTCCCTGGTTTACTTCTTGATCCCAGGTTCTTTTCTTCACAACCCATCTTCAAAGACTGGGATCTGTTTTACTCTCAGTTTATGTTCCTCCCTTTCCCATAGACTACACCATGCTACTTGTTGACAATCTTATCTACTTTTCAGTCTCCATTTTTATATACTATTTATGAACTTATGTTACTATGCTCTACCAACTTAGGGAATATTTCTATGGCTGTATTTTGAACTGTGCCAGTAGCTTTTTATATTATTCCATATTGTTGATTGTTAGACTCTTCAGGTGACTCTTTTACCTGTTTAACTAGATGTTCTTTAAGCCCCCACTCCCACCTCCCACGAAGGGTCCATTTTGAGAATTCATTAGTCAAGAGAAGTGGACAAAATGTAAATTAAAAAAGAAATCTGTCATTCATCTATACTGGAATCTTAAGTTCAGACTTAATGATTGCAGGAATCAAAGTTACCTGTAAGGAACAGATGCACTTTCAATTGTATTAAAAGATTCTATTGCCTAAAAACTTATTTTTGTAATTATAGTGTAAGGAAAAAATTTTAAAGTCTTCTTATTGTCACATAGTATGTTTTTTTTTTTTTTTCCTTTTTTGTCTCTTTTTTTGTGTCCGGCAATGGATCGCAACCCTCAGTGTCGCGCCTGTACCGGATCCGGGCCGGGACCGGCAACGGGATCGCAACCCTCGGTGTTGCTCCCACACCGCTCTCAGCCAGTGAGCGGGAACTGGTCTGCATGTGGGATCCGAACCCTCGGCGGGAGCGCCACTGCACTCTCAAGCGGCACACTGTAGCAGTGCGCCACCGGGCCGGCCCACACACCTAGTATGTTTGACAAACTATTATATATAATTATAAATACTATGAACCAACGGGCCGGCCCACACACCTAGTATGTTTGACAAACTATTATATATAATTATAAATACTATGAGATTTTACTCCAAAAAATTCCAGTGTGTTAGAATATTGTTCAGCATCACTATATGGATCTGTGCAATCATCATTATAACTTACTATAAATTGATTGACATTAATGCTTCATGAAATTAAGGATCGGCTTGAACAATGCATTGGTTGGTTTTGGAGGATGGTCACCAGTTGTTTGAATTCTTTAATACTGCACTTGTATTCTTGATTTTACAGTGAAGTAAGGTGCCCTTATTTCAGGGCAAAACAGTCTACAGTAGTTTAAGATTGTTTTATGAGGCACTGAGTTATTGGCTTTGTTATTTATGGCACATTTTAATTAAAATTAGCATTATAATTGCAGACATGTGGAGAACAAAAGCATTCAGATGCTAATTTTGTTACAGAGGAGGTGCTGCTGATTAATGTGAGCAAATCTAGCTATTTCCATATTATAAAGACTTGAAGCTTTAGACATAATTTAGGAAATTCCAAGATCTGAATTTATACTTGTGAAGTTTAATTTCATTGAGATCTTTAGTTCAGTGATTAAAATGAGCATCTTAGATTAAACCATATGAAATTACGTTTTCTTTCTTTTTTTTTTTTGGCGGATACAGGGATTGAACCCTGGACCTTGGTGTTGCTAATACCATGCTCTAACCAACTGAGCTAACTGGCCAGCTGAAATTACCATTTTTATATGAAAAGTATAATTGAATATTGGCAATTTCTTTTGGGTCAGTCTATTTGTCGGTCTTTGTATCTTGTCTGAACATTCAATAGAAACTAAATTTAGCAGCTTGTGTATATGGAAACAATTTCCTCCTAGGGAAAGGTGCTAACTTAATTTAGTTTCTGATTACAAATTTTCCTATCTAACATTTTAAATGAGTTCCACAGCTGTTCTGAATCAACTGGAAATGAAAAGATCCAAAGGAGAAAAGGAGATACTGAGTTTAGTGCCCTTATAGTTTGTTTCTTAGAAAGGAATGAGGTAGTAAACAACAAACTATTTAGATTAGAAGGTTAAAAGGAAGGAAAATATTGTCCAATTTTAAAATAGACATCACATTAAATTTTTGTACTTAGAAGTTTCAAGCACAGACCTTGGGGATCATGTTTAAAGGGATTGAAGAGAAGGAAAAACAAAGGTCAGAGAGGCACAAATAAAGAAGTGCCACAGGAGCTGTAGACACATTCAGAAGACAGGATTAAGACAGTGCATTTGGGTACGCCAACTGAGATGCTGGTAATGAGTTCCAAAGAGCCATTGTCATGGAATGATGGGAATAGAAACTGAATTGTAAGGATTAAAATGTTACTTGAGTGAAGTTAAAGGTAGAGGATAGTGAATGTTGTCAGCTGTTTCAGAAGTATGGTAGCAAAAAATAGTGTCCTTGCCTGTTACAGTAGCATGATAGAACAGAATTGAGGGAAAGTGTGTTATTTTTTGGTCTTTTCTTTTTTAGATCAGTGAGATGAGTTTGTAAGCAAAAGGTAAAATACAGTGAAGAGGTGAAGATTCCATAATTCTTTGCCCATACATAGTAGAACTTTAACTTATTGCAGTATTTATTATTGTTAAATTAATCATGCCTTCATGCTGTGAATGTCATGAGTGCCATGAATTAGCCATTTATAGCACTTTTCACATTTGGAGATGCTATTGCCAGTGGTGGAATTACCACAATGGATAAGTCATTACATGATTTGTTTATGGTAGTGGTGGCCTAGGTGACAAATTTATAATTGACTGTCTGGGCTTCCAAGGGGAAATAAGTGATTAGAATTAATTGGTAGTATATTAATACAGTCAACACAGAGGGTGAATTGTTTATTGCTTATCTTTAGACAATTTGATCCAACAATTGTTTATTTTACCTAATTTCTAAATCATTTAGTCCTGCTTCTCCAACTGTTTATGCATTTGAATTTCTGATAACATTACTTGGTTAATACAGTCAACACAGAGGGTGAATTGTTTATTGCTTATCTTTAGACAATTTGATCCAACAATTGTTTATTTTACCTAATTTATAAATCATTTAGTCCTGCTTCTCCAACTGTTTATGCATTTGAATTTCTGATAACATTACTTGCTTCTCCTCTGGCTAATGAAGTCTACTTCATGATGGAATAAGTGTTGGTATTTTGGAGGTTGGGAGAATGGCTGCCCTTGTTTCTATGGCAGGGATTACATTTTCTCTGTAAGGTTGATATTGAGAAGACAGTGGAACCCCTCTCCATAACTGAGGTGAAGGTGGAATTTCACACTCCAGGATGGGTGGCTTTCGGGGCCTTAGCACATCCATTTCTTGGTCTATATTACTTATTAAGGTTTTCTCTTGAAATACCAGGGACAGGAACAAGAAAAGTCTTACAGTTCTTACAGAAATGGTAAGATAACACTCGCAGCTGCCACAGTCAGTATACTTATCCTTACCAACAAAGCCAGAAGAACATGTCTAATCCAGGGGCTATTTTCTGTGGTAGATGAGGTTAGGATGCTGTTTTCAATTAATGACCCATTGTCCGGCTCCAGGGTAAGGCAAGTTTCACTATATGTGATGTTGTCAATTGTGCCAATTTTGTATTCTGGCAACATAGCATATGCAAAGTATGGAGGGACACTTCCATCAAGCCGCCTTAATTTGAACATTACTTGCTGAATTTTTCTGTTAGGACACCATTCCAGAGAACATAAGGCTCTGTTATACCAGGATGTAATAGTAGACCCTGGTCTAAGGGTAGTTGATACAATCTGCTCAAGGTTACTGGAGTTTAGATAGTCAATGAGTTTAGCAAAAAACAAACCAATCCTCTCTCTCTTTTTTATAAATGAGTAGAAACTGTTTTCTGTGTGCAGAGTGTAAGTGTGGCAGGGAGTACTTCTGGACAGCTTCAGTTCAATGGTCAAAGCAGCCGAGCAGCCAGGTCCCCAGAATCAGTGGCACAAAAGCATAAATTCCTGAGGGTAATACTGGAAGTCCAGTTCTAAGGAATATCCATGTAGTATTTGATGAGTTGCATTAGGTCGCAGCCAGCTTTCTGGGCCTGAAGGATATTCATTTACAGATTTTATTGCAAGTGTCAGGTGAATTGATTTGCCGTCTTCCTGATCATAAAATGTGTCAGGAGGGATTGGGAAATTAAGTCTATGCCCAATAGTTGCTGTTATCAATTGAATTGGATTAACAACTGTTGGAAATGTGTTGGATTGACCTAGAAGGAGCAAACAAGAAACAAATTTCAACAAATACCACTCTTTATTTAAATGTTTAAGGTTGTCTTGATGGTTGACTTGTTTCCCCCATATTCACTTTTGGACCTGATTTGCATAGGGAAGTGGGAAAGCATCTATTGATACTAAATAGGTATATAGATGCCTTA